CCTACTTTCATGTTGCTTAAGACACTGGCCAAATGTGTGACGTCCTCTCGGCTGCTTTTTCATTTTCACAGTAAAATATCTGTTTAAAGCTACTTGCTGACAATTTTCAATTGTTACATCAATTAATCACCCAAAGATAAAATCTTCAATTCAATTTGTCTTTAGTTACAAGTTTTCAAAAGGGAAAAGATGAAACACTTTTTAAATAATAAATACTTGATTATTTTGTTCCATGTCTTGAATTAGTAATATTTAATAGCTCATTACATTATCCTGACAAAGTGGCGGATTGACACAGAAAATTTACAAATAATAATGTTTCCACTATTGCCATTAAACTGAGTGTAGCAAAATGTATCCGACAAACATTATATTAATATAGTTCCTATACCGGATCATACTATCATTACTCGTAATACATATAGTATATAACTGTTGTTGCCAGATTGGAGCTTCACTGTTCTCTAGTAACATAGGGAGTGAGCACTTTATTGGACTGGCAGGGGCCGGTGCATCAACAGGGATAGCCATGATTCTGTTCGAGTGGAGTGTAAGTATTCACATTATACATAAGTCGTATCTATTGTTTTATGTAATTTACATGAAATTCACAGTGTATACAGGATATAGTCAGAGCCATTTTAATTGATATTAGGATGGTAATCAAACTGCAAGGCAATCAAGCACCTACAAATTAGTTATTAATTAGTTATTGTCGACGCATCAAGACTTTATAGGTATAAATAAACAATTAACTGCGCCGTACGGCCACTTCGTCTATTTTGTACAGCGCCTATATTGTTTCAAAACAGATAACAACACAGCGATGGAAAGGTTCCCATAAACGGCACCGAATACTATTGAACATCACATGTTTAAACAAAAACACATTTATTGTTCTTAAATTGCAGCCGGTGTTTCTGATATTGCTGCTTGGCTGGTATTTTATCCCTGTCTATATTTCCGCTGGGGTAAGTTCGTCTCTTATGTGTTTATAACTTTCTAGTAGTGATTATTCTATTCACATCTCATTTCTTACTATCCAATAACATTCCATTTGGGATGTCTTTATAGGACATTTGCTTGTAACGACGGATGTTTCAGAAATCTGTATCGTCCGAATAAAAGTCTTGTGAAACTATTGTTTCATCATTTACCCAATGTATCCGTTATGTATCATATTGTTTTATCATGAATGTTGACAGGTGTACACCTTGCCAGAGTATCTTGAGAAGCGTGTCGGAGGAAACAAGATCCGGATTTATATATCGGTTTTGTTCCTGGTGCTCGCTGTTGTCACCAAACTAGCGGTAACTTCATGATTTTTATTTGACACCCTTTACAGTTACATTGAATAACTAAGCAGTACATATCCTATTTAACACCCAATCTAAGTCACCGGGCTAGAGATAAAGTTCTGTAATTCCTGTGATTTTATGACATTTTTAAGACGTTCCTATACTACACCCCACTTCACGGATGTAACGTCACAATGGGACAATAACGTGACGCCAGGAGCTCGGAAACATTATAATGCCATGTTTATATAATTGTATAATTTCTGAGCTAGTTCTTGTAATCGTTATGGCAGACACATATTCTTCTTTACCAAGGGATGTTTGTTACAGTAGAAGTGGGGTCTCTATCCAAGCGTTCATACTTACGTGTAATCTAAATAAACTGTTTTTGTCACAATAAGAGTTTTTCATTATATCAGAAACAATCAAGAAATGTCAAAGTGATCAAGCACCTTGTTTTATGAATAAAGCAAGAAATGAATTGATTGTGTTTTTTTAATTTGATAATTTGATTTTTTTTCAATCAATTCCTGACATTTTTTAAAAAGATATCATTGACATAAATAGAAAATGCTGTATTGTTTTAATTTTAATTCCTGTGACAGGTGAATATGTTTGCTGGTGGCCTCTTCATACAAATGGCTACCGGATGGAACATGTACATGTCTGTCATCATTTTGTTAGTGATCACGGGATTTTACACCATACTGGGTAAGGTTTGCTACGTCAATGTAACTTTACAATCATTGTCTACGACGTATAGTTTAGTAAACTGAATAAATAGATAGTATCTGAATTCTTTTGTTCTTCCTTTTTAATCATAATCGATAAATCAATTTAAATATGCATTTCAATTTAAATATAAGAAAGCAAAACCAAACCTTTGTGTCTGATATCGAAACATTGGTGTAAACAGACTGTGTGTCAATGAATGCCAGTTTGATCATGTTTCGCTGAAACGATATAATAGTATTTTAGGCTTATTTGTCAGAGATAAACAAAGCAATTTCTCATTGTTTCTTGGTGTTGCCTACAGGCGGACTCAAGGCGGTGATGTATACCGACACATTCCAGGCATTAGTCCTCACGCTCGGAGCTCTTCTCTTGTTTGGAATAGGTATGTATTTTAGCGTGAGTCGTTTTGCTGTAGTTCCGTTCATAGTTCAAGCGGTGTTACAAGCACAAGATATAAGCACATAAGTAACCAATTATATATGTTCAATATTTATTTTTGATTAATTTCGCATTGTCAAATACACCTGACCGGTTATTTTTAGCTTTCAGTCGTGTCGGGAGCTTGGAAAACCTGGAACGTTTGTATATGAATGCAACTGCCACTATCCAGATCGCCAACAGTACCTGTGGCTTACCAAAGAAGGATGCATTCCACGTGTTCCTTGATCCTGTTAATGGCGAGCAACCCTGGCCAGGTCTACTTGTCTGTTCCTCTCTGGGATGTGTCGCCTACTGGTGCTGTGACCAGGTAATGTCTTGTAATGATGTCATAACAAGAGTGCATTTATATTAAGATTTCTAGTATCATGATTGATTGATTGAACAAACAACTGATGATTTGGCCGTATGTTAGTGATTTCATGAACATATATCTAAAACATTGATAAGATTTAGTAGGTTTCAGAAATGTGTTTACAAGCACTAAAACGAGATTTGGTAAGATTCATTTACTGGAAGAAATAAAATTCATGTTCAATAAATTTAACTATTATTAAATACAATTTTGAAACAAATGTTTAGACGTTAAGGAATATATATAGGTTATAAGGAATTATTTAAAAATTAACTGATGTATATCCAAAATATTCATTGAAATATTTAAAAGGAAGTAAGCAATTTTCAGTCTATAGTTATCAATACGTATAAGGACTATCAGTTATTTTATTAACTCTGTAATTCTTTATACTCGTGTTAAATCATATGATGTCAATGTCAGGGTCAAAATGCTGTAAAACATTTTTATTTTTTTTAATAAACAATGGTAAACATTGACATACGGCGCTGGGGGTTGGGAGGGTGGACATTTTAGTGTCTTCTTTATTTTCAGGTTATAGTACAAAGATCTCTANAAAACTTTAATCTAGTTTATATTATCACAGTGCTAAATATACTGTAGAACCTCGATAGTCTGATACCTAACAGGAATTCTTGTACTGAAATGCTGAAAAATAGGAAAGTTGAATATGAATTTGCATCATAGATCAGGATACAAGCTGAGTGGACTTATGGCGTTCTATTGTATATTATCATAGCTTCCCGTCAGTGTTGTGTGTTATGATGTTTGGAAGGAATATTCACATTTCAGGTTTCATGTTTATGCTGACCGGAGCAGCAGATATGTCTTAGTTGAGTATCGCAGATATATACGGAAAAAATGCTGAAGCGATCTTGTGTTAATATTTTAGACGAGGTAGCTTGTGTGGACCCTGATGAATGTATGCGGATATGTGAAAACCGCGTGGGATGCTCAAACATCGCTTATCCGAAACTCGTGCTGGAGTTACTTCCCAATGGTAAGTGGATAATGAATACCGCAAATCTTGTCGGTGCAGAAGTGACTAGGTCGTTCCTGAATGTGATGTAGTTTCCTCTTTGATGACTTTCAAGGTCGAACTTGTTTTAATGAAATAAGAAACACCGCTATCACGGCAATTCGTTTCGGTTTTCACTAACCAGTACCGTTCTTATGAATCATTTAAAAGAAGTCGGCTTATACAAAAGTTAAAAATAACAAACAGATGTGATTATTAATAATCAGAAAATTAAAGCTTATGATATGTTTACTTTAAATTACGCAGGTCTAAGGGGTTTTATGATGGCTGTGGTTCTCTCCGCCATCATGAGTTCCCTCACGTCAATCTTTAACAGCTCAAGTACTTTGTTTACCATGGATTTGTGGAGACGATTCAGGCCTAAATCCACGCAGCAGGAATTACTCCTCGTAGGCAGGTAAGGCTTGTTGTGAAGCCAATGACACTCTGAATTAGGGTGTTTGTCACCTTCACCTCCATACTTTCAGGGGTAGTGTGACGAGAGGTGACGCGAGCAAATGGTGGTGCAGGAATTTCGTACTTAACTGGAAAACAAACAATTCGTGTGTTGATCAATGATGTCCTATTATAGCCTTGGTGTCTCCTCAGTTCCTGTTACCATGATTCTTATGGTCATGCTGAGTTTATTGGCATGATGTATATTTTTGTATGCATTTCAATTTTGTTCCAGCCTAGGTTTAAACGAGGTAGTAGTCACTCGTAGTTGATAAACAGTTTCAGCGTTGATTAAAGTTCTACTATAGAACTACTAGATGATTTATTGGTATGAGTAACGAAAATGAGACAATTATTTCTAAACGTTATTTCGAATATTGTTAACCGTAATGGCCACATATTCATTTCACTTTTGTTTCTTCTTCCTTATGTGACAGAGTCTTCATCCTCTTCATGTGTGTATTGAGCATCGTATGGTTGCCTTTGATCAAAAGCTCACAGGGAGGACAACTCTTTTCATACCTCAACATGGTCCTAGCAAGCCTTATGGCACCAGCTGGCCCAGCATTCCTCATAGCAATATTTTGGAAGAGAACGACAGAAATAGTAAGCAGATACATAGGTTTCGCTATAAAAATAGTTCTGATTCCTTTACAAATGGTAAGCGGAAGAAAAAAGTTGCATTCTGGATGCTTTGTTTGAAACTAAACATGTTTGTTTTTAATCTGTATAACGCGTTTAAAATATGGATAATGAAACTGATTGTCTTATGTAGGTTTAGCTGTTGTATCACGTGGATCCAGTGTGAGGAGGTGTGTAAAAACCACGTGATGTAGATAATTTAAATTAAATAGATGTTTTGTCATAGAAAATACAGTATTTGAACTCTCCAAACCAGCAGAATAGCTTTACCTCTCAAATAATTGATTAATCTACAATACTTCCTTGTAACATGGATGATGACAACATACAACTGTGTTCTTTCTACAGGGAGTAATTGGTGGTCTGCTTCTAACGCACATCTGTGGCATCGTACGTCTGGTTTTAGAATTTACATACCCAGCGCCACCTTGTGGGGAACCGGAGACCCGACCAGCAATTCTCTACAAATTTCATTTCCTGTACTTTGGATTTTTTAATGTGTTTCTGGCGTTTGTGGCTATAGCGTTGATCAGCCTGATGACACGACGACGGACCGATGAGGAGGTAGTTTGTTTTATCTCATAAGTTATCTTCCTCGTGTATCCGGTTCAAATATCCAGTGTCATGCTAATCCTATCTTGTATCATCGTCTCTCGGTTAAAATATGCATTGAAGAGTGAATGTCCAATCTTAACTGATCGGTTTTACTCACAACAAAACATAAGC